GAGAGTTATGAAGGAGTGATAAGTGAAGGAGTGATGAGGGCGTGATGAGTAAAGGAGTGATGCTCCTGTCGGTCTGATGATGAAACTTGGAAGACTGAAGGAAGCAGAGTGCTCCTCTGGAACATGCAGATGTGCTGGTCTGTCGCCACCTGGTGGTCTGGAGGGAACATCGAGTTTAACGACAGACGTTTGTTCAAAACAGGTTTTATTTTGAAAAACTACAGTGTGTCAAATGTTTGTTGGAGTGGAGCTCCACAGAACCTGCACCCAGAACACAGGTAAACAAACAAACAAATATTGGAAGAACCAAAACAGCCGACAGGGTCCAGATCTGTGGGAGGACAGAGTCCAACGAGTTTCCGAACGGTTTCAGCAACCTTCAGCTGCTTTATTTTAGCTGTTGAGGGCTGAATGACTTCTGACGCTTTCTGAAGAAGCTGAGACAGAGCTGTTAAAACAAACAAACCACAGGCTAAAGCTAACATATGCTAAACTTCAGCGGATCTCAAAAAACAGATGCTAAGTTTAGCAAAACTGTAACTAAAATAAAGAAACCTGGAGCTAAAATCACCGAGATACCACAGCTAAAATGAGCAAACCTACCTAAAATGGTTCAGAAATATTGTGAATGATAACACTAGCACAACGGTTGCTAAAGGAAGCAAAACAGACTTAAGATTAGCAAAATAGTGGCTAAATTTAGAGAACCTTTAGCTAAAGTCAAACAGATGTTTAAGCTAAAATTAGCAAACCTAGCTAAAATTAGCTAAATAGTAAAACTTAAATTTTACCAAACTTTTTGTAAAAGAGCAAGATAGTAGCTAAAGTTAAGAAACCTTTAGCTGAAATCAGTCAGATGCTAAAGCTAAAATTGGCAAAACATACTAAAATTACCAGAGCAGGTTGTAGCCGATGATAAAGCTAAAGTTAGCAAACCTAACTAAAATTAGCCTAATTGTAAAACTAAAAATTAAGCTATAGTTGCAAAACTAAGAAAAACCTTCACTAAAATTAGCACTAATACAAAAGATGCCAGAAAAGGCAGAATTTACCAAAACTTAGCCTGAAAGTAGCAAAATGATAGCTAAAACCTAACAGTAGCTAAAATTAGTATGAGGAGACAAACGTTTTTTTGTTTTTTTCTGCAGGTGTGACCTCTGCTGCCTTTCTTTCCGAACTCATCGCGGTTTGTTGCGTCACAACGCGGGGGTCCATAAGCTCCTCCCCCAGGACCCGAACGGACGCCCCTTCATTCAGAACAACCCCTCCATTCCCACCGGCTTCAATGACCTCGCCTTCATCGACTTCTCCTGCGAGAAGTTCGCTCACATCGCTCAGGTAGGCTCACTTCCTGCTTGATGCCCCGCCCATCGACTGTCGGGGTGTTAATCCTTCTACCTCCTGGTCCAGGTCTGGTGCGAGACCAACCTGCGGCGCTGCATTAGTAAGTTCCACCGCTTCGTCTGCGACTCCTGCGACAAGGCCTTTCCCCTTCGGTCTGCGCTGGACCGCCATAAAACCACCTCCCACCCCGAAGGGCCCGCCGCCGAGGAGAACAAACCGAAAGAGAACGGAAACGAAGAACGTCACGACAACGAGACCAAAAACAAGCCGTCAGAGCAGGAGGACTTCATGGAGGTTCTGGGTCTTCAGCACACTTCTAAGGTACCCTTCAGGTCCAAAGTTCTGCCCTCCAAAGACCCAGACCTGCTGTGATCTAAGTAGATTTTCAGGTCTCCAGCCTTGATCCAGGTCTAGTTTTTGGACTTGGGCTTCTTCACAAATCTGTTTTGGTTCTTTGAACTGGATCATTTTCAGACGACAGAAACTGGTTTTATAAAAACAAAGAAAAATATATTCTGTTAAAACAGACGCTAAATCTAAACGAAGCCGAATGCTATCTAAAAGCTAAAAGTAGCATAAGGCTAACTAAAAGTACCGAGCTGCCTAACAGTGTGGACTCACATGATCAGAAATGGGTCAGGACTACTGTAAAGGTTCTGATCAAATCTGTTTTTAAACCCCAGGTGAAGTCCGGCCCCACAGACGATGAGATCCACCAGGCCCACCTGGACAGCATCAAGGTGATTCATGTGGAGCCCCCGAACTCCAGCCTCCCCCTAGAGCCTGCGTCCGCTTACCTGTCCGAAGGTCTGGTTCCGGTGTTGGGTTTAGGCGGGCTGGCTGCTCTGAGCATCCCGCTGTTGGATGGCGCTGCTCTGCAGGGCCTGTCCCAGCGGGACGCCCTCAGCCTGCTGTCCCTGCAGCCGTTCCAGTCCGGCTTCCTGCTGCAACCCGAAGGGGGCGCGGCCACGGCTGCCGCCACTTTGCCGGCTGTCAAACCTGGGGAAGCGGGCGGCGCTGGTGTCATGGAACTGGCCGACATCCAGCAGATCCGCAAAGTGACGACTGCGGCCCCCAATCATATCCTGCCTCTGGCCAAGGCTCCAGGGTTCACCGGAGGTCATGGTGAGTTTTCATTCGTCTGTTTGTTTTTGCTTCTGGACGCTCACTGACGAGTTCTGCCCCGCCCCCTCGCAGGTCTGGTCCAAGGTCAGAAGGCTATGCCGCCATTAAAACCCAAACCTCCCATCAGCCCTCGCTCCAGCCTCTCGACGACCACGCCCCCTCCTCTGCAGAGCTCCCAGCAGGCCTCGCTGGGCTGCATCAGTCCCAGCCTGCCTCCACCCACCCCCACCCTCTTCAAAAACCCCACTTCCTCTTCAGGGGGCGGGGCTCAGATGGACGCAGAGTGTGCAAGTGACACCCACACGCCACAATCTGATTCGCCACCTACTGCCATTACAGCTGTTCAAGAGGAGGCGGGGCTTAGCAGCAGGAAGGCGGGAACCAAAGCTGGGCCGAATAATGGCTGTAGTGCAGTAAAAGGCTCCTTCCCGTGCCGCTTCTGCGACCAGGTGTTCGCCTTCTCCGGCGTCCTGCAGGCCCACATGCGCTTCCACCTTGGCATCCTGCCCCACCAGTGCAACATCTGCGACTACGTGGCACCGGACAAGGCCACGCTGATCCGCCACCTGCGCACGCACAGTGGCGAACGGCCGTATGTCTGCAGAGTCTGCCACTACCCCTTCACCGTGAAGGCCAATTGTGAGCGCCACCTCCGTAAGAAGCACGCCAAGACCTCCAGGAAGGATATTGAGAAGAACATTAAGTATGTCACCTCCACCACCACTGCTAATCTCTCCGCGCCCATCACTGCCACCCAGGACACGGAGACGAGCTGCTCTGGCGCCGACACCACCTGCCGGTTCTGTGGTGAGGGCCTGAAGTCGTACCGTGCGCTGCAGATCCACCTGCGCACGCACAATGGCTGCCAGAGAAAACCATTTGAGTGCCGACGCTGCGGTGCTGCCTTCCTGGCCAAACGGAACTGCATCCATCACCTGCTGAAGCAGCACCCCGAGGTCCAGGAGCGGGAGATCGAGGACCACATCACCACGCTGCTGCCCGCTGCCGCTGTGGCCACGGCCCGCCCCTCCGCGGTGGCTCCAATGGCTCTCGATGGGATCAGCCCTCCGGTCCAGGTTCTCCAGGCCTTAAAGGTGGAGGACCTGGTTTATCCTGAGGATCTGGACCAGCCGCTTGATTTTTCCGCTAAAGGTCGAGGAGGGAGCATCGTCCAGATGGCGCCTCCCGTCATCAAAATGGAAAGCTCCTCCCCCGGCTTTGACTGCTCCGCCATGGACCAGCCCATCGACCTGTCCATCCCCAGCAAGCGGCTGCGCAGAGAGGCGCCGAGCAGCGGCGAGAAGGATGGTGTCATCACCGAGCACACTCAGTCCAAGGACAATGAAAAGACAGCCAATGTCCTCCCCCCTCTGCAGCCCCACCCACAGCTTGGCTGCCACCAGCTTCCTCCTGGATCCTCTCCTCCCCCCACTCCAATCCGAACCCCCCGCCTCAAACCGCTGCTGCCCAAACCTGCAGCTTCCACCTCCCTGCCGCTGAAGGAGCTGGCTCCTCTGGCCTCCATCGCTCAGATCATCAGTTCCGTCTCCACTGGTCAGGGTCTGCTGGAGGAGAAACCGCAGCCGGTTGCCTCTCAGCTGGACTCCGACCCCCCTGCAGTCCTGGAGGCCGCGAGTGACGACGTGTCTGACGGATCCTCCAGGTACGTTACCTCCATTTAACTATTTCCTCCATAAACGTCTGTCGGATCTGACCCACCTTCTCCTCGCAGGCGGAGGTCCAGGAAGAAACCCGCAGCTCTTGCAGTGAAAGAGAAGGTCGTCAGCGCCGGCATCGACCTGGAGTCCAGCGGCGAGTTCGCCAGTGTGGAGAAGATGCTCGCCACCACTGACACCAACAAGTTCAGCACCTACCTGCAGACTGGAGCAGCTGACCTGGCAGCAAAGAGAGGTGAGACCCAACCAGAACTGTTCGGTGGAAACAACCTGTCAGCTGCAGGTTAAGTCTGACGACTCCTCCCTCTTTACAGATGTGGAAGGAACAGCTGGAGAAGGAGAGGAGGAAAAGGAGGGACGAGTGAAGGAGGAGGCAAAACCGGCTGTTTCAGTGTCGGCCATGACGGTTTCTCAGCCCAAAGGAAAGAAGAACGCCTACTCCAACTCTGTGCAGAAGATGACGTGTCCCTTCTGTCCTCGCGTCTTCCCCTGGATGAGTTCTCTGCAGAGACACATGCTGACTCACACCGGTACCGAAAAGTCCAAAAGAATCCTAAACATGCATTCAAATTTCATTTTGAAAGAACATTGTGGTAGTAGTACAGCGGTAACATACCATACCATTTTATTTATAGAGCACTTAAAACTGCAACAAGGCCAACCAAAGTGCTGTACAGACAGAACAACAGGTAACACACAAAGCAAAATACAAAATGAAGTAAATCAGAATATAGACATAAAAACGATGCAGATAATAAATATAACTACTAACTTGTGTGGAGCGTACAGGTTCAAAACACAGATCATCTGGTGTTGAAAGCTATTGAATAGTAGTGAGTTTTTAAACGGGATTTGAAAACCGAGAGGGAGGGGGCCTGTCTGACAAACAGAGGTAACTCGTTCCAAAGTCTTGGTCCTGCTACAGAGAAGGCCCTGTCACCTCTGCGCTTAAGATGAACTGTGAGGAGCAACTGGTCCTCTGACTTCAGAGAACGTGGTGGGACATACGGCTGCAGCAGATCAGAGAGATTGGGGGGGGGGGGGGGG